ATGAAGGAAAAATATGTGACATATTATGTCTCCACAGGTGCATAATAGATCTTTCACTGACACAACAATTTACCGCATACAGCTTCCAACCTACAATTTTCATCCCCTCTAAGCAATGTTTGAAAATGAGCAGGAATCTCTCGAACATTGAAATACTATGTTCCAGCGATATTGTTTCTGCCGCCTCTGAATTTATTTTCAAAATCTACGACTACCTGAACGATGAAAGTAAACTCGCGATAATATTCGAACTTCGGTTCACAAGTTTTCTGATGCTTAAATATATCTGCATCACACAAGTCCGTGTTTCTCATTTATGTCAGTTTGTCAGTCCGTGTCTGTTTTATGTATATCAATGCGTCATAAAAGTACCGAGTCAATCTACTTGAAGAAATATTCAGAGAACCACCATAGACGGGTTAACACATATTAAAGGTTAGATGAAATGGGTGGAACAAGATCATAAAATTCAGGAAAATCTATGCGTAGATATAAATACAGTTATCATTTACAAATGCATCTTAGAACGCTAAAGTGGTACGTAAATATTGCTCAAATATATAATTTTTTCTGAAGCGGTGTGTCAGTGACGACACCAGCGTAGATCAGTTGGAGTTTGTTACCCGTTGTACTGTCGGTAGTGGCCTCCATGACGATGCATCATAAAGCTGCGCACGCAACGCCAACAATTGCAAAGTTATTTCGAATTATAAGCACATTATAGATTGGACTTTCATTTAATTTTCCCGTTGTTACCGGGATCACAAGCATCTCAACGCTGGAACGTCTCTGACTAATGTTGAAGGCATTTACAACCCCTTACCCCAAATTTCAACCCTTACAACAATTTTTCCGAAAATTATTAATAGCATCTGAAGCGTGAAAAAAAGAAGCTTAAGCGATCTTTAAATCTTTTGTGTTTATGCTCCTAGCTCCGCCACCACTAGACCGATTATCAAAACCTGCAAAACCTTTTCATCCTTGGTTTATGAAAATTTCATAAAAATTCGAGCAGTATCTACTTCTCAAGTTATAGCAGTTATACGATTTGGTTTTTGGTGATGGACATATCATATAACATCTAAAAAACATGATAAATCAATATTTAAAATTTTTCGAGATTACAATATTTCCTCGCCAGTTTTGCCATAGGAAGTAAAATCAATTTATACTAAACAAGATATAAAACTGAGACTCTATTGTTCTCAAGCCTTGAGAACCAAAAAAGTGTTGGTTTCTGTCAAACATTTGTTATTGATAGTATTTCTGGTTAAGATAATTTGATTGGCCAGGGAGACCCTGAATAATATCGCCCCAAAAGAAGGAAATAGGTATTACAACATATTTATGCTTGCTCACACACAGTACCGAACACAAGATGAAGTGTCCTCTGTAATTACCCTTAACTATAAACAAAGTACCGATATTCGATTGTCGGTAACCTCCCCTTTTTTTCTCCGTAAACTCCAACGAGTCGCAATTGTTTCGGCGCCGGTCAAAGCCTACCGCGGTTTTTTGCATCTTCCACCAGGCGATTGTCGAACGCTAATCTGAATCTGTTTAATTAGCAGTATTGGTTCTTGAATAACCATTGTTACTGTTCATTCTGTTCCTAAACAGAAGAATGATCGACAGTAGTGCCGAAAAATCAGCACACAATGGATGGCACTTGTACTGCCGAACAAGATTTGCAGCAGCGATAACGGATTATGTTTGAGAGATTGTTGCGGAGCACGATTTGAATGTAAGCAGAGTGCAATTGGTTTGAAGAACGGAATTTTCATCTGTTACATTATTTTCCAGATCCTAATTCACTGACGGATACTCCGAGGAAACAGGATCCAGAGGGGGGGCGGTAATATACCTGGAAGGCAAATAAATGTATGTAGGAAAACTTCGCGCTTGGAACCTGCACAACACCCTTTCCGGCAGAGAAATTTTCCATCTTAATGGTGGCATACATGGTGTGTCCGGAAAGTAATGAGCTTCATTTATTTGTGACGCAGCTTGGCAACGTAGCGCAATGCGACCAGTTGGGATGGGTGGGGGGAACCTTCAGCTTTACAGTGGTACACTTGCCAGTTACCTCCGACCTCTTGGAGAGTGTGTACGCTGATTTTTGTTAGCCCTTGTTTTGCGACATCGTCGAAGTTACGATGGAAAAAACTTTAGAGCAAAGATACGCGATAAAGTTTTGTGTGAAACTAAACAAAACACCGAAGGAGACATTGGATTTGCTTCAAACAGCGTTTGGGGATGCCTGCCTGTCATATTCACAAATAAAAAAGTGGCACAAGTCGTTCCGGGAAGGGCGAGAGGAGGTCGATGACGAAATGCGTTCAGGACGTCCATCGACATCACGAACAGATGACAATGTGACCCGTGTGCGAGAAATTCTCAGCACAGACCGTCGACTGAGTGTCCGCTTGATTGCTGACCTTTTGCACTTGCCAAAGACCACTGTTCACGAAATTGTGTCGGAAGACTTAGCCATGCGCAAAATTTGTGCAAAACTTGTGCCCAGAGTTTTGACCGACGTTCAAAAACTCCATCGTGTCGCTGTGTGTGAGGAACTGAAACAGTTGTGTGCGGATGATCCAAATTTCCTAGACAATGTAATTACGGGAGATGAGACATGGATTTTCGAGTACGACCCAGAGACAAAGCGGCAGAGCGCAGAATGGCACACGTCCGCGTCGCCACGCCCGAAGAAAGCTCGAATGAGCAAGTCCAAGATCAAATCCATGGCCATTGTCTTCTTCGATGCTAAGGGAATCGTGCACCACGAGTTTGTACTCCCTGGCCAGACCGTCAATGCTCAATTTTACAAAGAAGTTCTTCAAAGACTGAAACACAGGGTTGCCCGCGTTCGAAGAGAAATTCGATCTTCATGGAAACTCCACCACGACAACGCACCGTCCCATACCGCCTTTGTTACCGTCGCCTACTTGACTCGGATCGGTGTCACGACGGTGCCCCAGCCACCGTACAGTCCCGATCTGGCTCCAGCGGACTTCTTTTTGTTTCCTCGACTAAAAAGGGGCCTCAAGGGACAGCATCTGGACACCCTAGAGAACATTGAAGCTACTTCGACGGCCTCCCTGAACAGCATCTCAGTCGAGGAGTTCCAGGGAGTATACGCGGCTTGGAAATCACGCTGGCAAAAGTGTATCGATGCAGGAGGGTGCTACTTCGAAGAATATTGAGTTTATTTACTCAAATGATCAATAAATGATGAAATAAAAAATAGAGCTCATTACTTTCTGGACAAACCTTGTACTCTGATGAGCTTCACCAGTGCACTGATCGGAGCATACTTATATGGTCGAACAGTCAAGTAACATTGAAGGCAGTAGCGAATCTCAGAGGACAAGTTCACCTTTAGGTCAGGAATGCATTTCCGGATTAGAATTTCGCCCGACCCAAAGGAGTAACCCTACTTTGGGTTTCCGGACACAGTGATGTGCCAGGGGATCCTCCATTGATCCCGAGCCTAGGCGGTATAAGCAGGCGCGTAAAAATTATTCATAAGATTTAGTATTCTCCGTATGCATCAATGAGGTTAAAGCGAATCCCATAATCTGCGGCAACAGTTCGAGAGGTGGCAACACTGGTGCCTGAAGACGGTTTCGATAACTATACTGCAACTGCATAGTTGTAAGGATGAGTGGATGACGACGTCACGGTACGGGCGCTTATTTTTGCGTATGAATGGCTATCAATTTATTGCGTATCTTCTAGTATCCAGTGGATTATGCTATCAATAGTTTACCGAGTTGAGTTTAATTTGTTTGATTGTCAATTTTCGTCCGCTAAGTTGACCAAAATTTGTGAGAGCTTATTGCAATATAGCATGCCCACATGTTTTTCATTTATGTAATGAAATTACTATATAGTAATCATTAATATCCATACATCGCTCTAAAGAAGCTCGATTTTTTATTGGTCAACATCAACTGATTTTCATCTTCTCGTCGCGTACAGCTTTCCCAACAGTTCAACCTTATCATATGTTTGAAAATAGTCAGTATCAGTAAAACTCTAGATTCTTTCTGTTTATTTTGAGAGTACCCCATTATCAAGCTTTGGAGCAAATAAAGGTTATCTAAGAATGCTATTATCTGGAATGTTGTAGAGATATGATTGGATTTTTAGTGACATTATTTCCTTCACAACTCGGTCCATTCACAAGGAATGTGTACGCGTAATTTATTATTTATCTATATTGGACTATTTACAGATATATAATTATGCATACACAGTTTTTTGATAGAAAAGTCAATACTTCATTACACATTATACATATAAAATGTTATTTAGTAATCAGTTCTTGGATTAATGCTCCAACAAAACTAAAATAAAAAAATAATTCAACTATCATAGACAACGCTAGAGGAACACTGGTTGCCTAGTTTAAAGTCTACTCAGTTATATGCAAAACAAATATAAATCGCATCACCCAATGTAGGTTGCAAGATATCATTGAAGCCCTCGCTTAAAGTTAAAATAGGCAACGAGCATGTCTACTAGCCAACAAAAACGGCAATCGCATTTACTCTCAGGACCTGGAATTAAAAAAACGGCAATTTATATAAATGACAGCAAAACATAATATACGCCCACAAAAGTATCGTGAATAAGCTCCAACGCCCAGGCTACAGACCTCCAACTACTTGTTGAATTGATACATCACGCATCAAGTTGGCACCGTCTGCCGGCGAGAGAACTCGGCTCGTCACGTCATTTTCCGCGGAAAAACAAGCCACAAGACGTCACGGTCGGTCATTGCCCGCAACAGAATCCGCACCGTCAAAATTTCGCCGGTTTTTCAACTCCAACCGTCTGCAAAAGTTTGTTTACCTATCGAACGATGCAAAATCTGTCAATTTTTCTAGCAGGTCATAGAAATTTCGGCGATGTCAGCACGACGTCTTATCTAGTGGGCGTTGAACGGGTTTAAAAGGCATAGACACCCGGCAAAAACGTGACTGGCTACTTACTTTGGATTATTGGACATGAAGGAGGCCGGTGCGTAAGACTTTGGCGGAAACCACGAAAAACACGGTCGGGAATGAGGGGAAAACGGAAATGACACTGTAACGCACTTCTAAATACGCGCCGGGTCACGTCACTTGCTGACTGAAGCGGGCGCGAGAGGAAACATTTGAACTCTATAGCCGATCGCAGTGTTGCCAGATCAATTTTGGTTTTTGGGTGAAGGCAGTACCGCAAATCGACGGGTCTATTGATTCCTATATTTTGCTATCTCATACTATTCCAAAATCATAGAAACCGACATATAAAAAAGACTGATATTATTCGAAACATATTTTATTGCATTTCTGAATCAGATATTTAATTTAACACATTTTTTCACGGTTAGGGATGAAATTTGGTTAAAATATTCAAGGTAAAATCTTAAAATAACATAAACAGAATAAATTTGTTAAAATGTAAAAACCTGTTGTTTCATATTGATAACTGCAGCAAGACTAGACAGTAAACATTGATATAACGTACCTGCCTGAAGATACTAATTAGATTTCTAATTACTGAGGAGAGGAGAAACAAATCTATGACAAATTGTCATAGATGACGCTACGGTATCCCATTTTGTTTCCGATAATTTTTCGGTCGCACGCATATAGTAATAGGTTGACTACTTTCAGGTAGAATACGTTAATCAACGACAGAACTGACCGAACCATACTATTTTCCAAAACAATTTCACTTTTGAATAAGTTATTCAATGTGTGAATTTTTGTCAGGTCTTTTTAATAGTTTCAGTAGTTGAAACAAAGCAAAAGCCTCCCTAAATCAGCGATACAAGAGTATCTAGTATCTAGAGCATAAATATTGACTGTGAAATAAGAGTCGGAGGTGCGAAGCTCCCCAGTCCCTAACCCTTAAGGGACATAAACGGTTATTACGCCCGAGACACATACACAATTTTATCTACCATCCGCTTAAAAAAAAGATTTAGAATATATCCAAGCAGAACTAAAAGTAAAATTATATTAACCTACTATTGTGTTACCGGTAGTTTCACCGTATCCTAGCAATGCGTGAATAATGACAGTTTCCGTGGTCGTAATATTGTGTCCAAGATCAAAGTTAATTTACAGATAGCGACTGGTAAACAAACTTTAACTTGTGAGGAGAATTCAATTTATCTACTTACCCTAAATATTTCACCAATTTATACAATAACTTCAATAAAAACCACAAAGTCAGACTGCGGAACCATACTGCCAACATTTTCGACGGGATAAGAACACAATCTATTATATAGATATAAGAAGTTTTAATTCCGTGATCACTGAGGAGTAACTAGTACTGACTGGACTGATCACCTGGCTAAACTGAACGTTAGAGGCTCATTTAAAAGCGTTGAGTCTAACCTAATGGGCATCAGCAGATTAATCTCCAATCATTCTCTGGACCAATGGGCATATAGTGAAGTGAGAAAGAAATAGAGAGTGAAAGAGATATTTTCAGGATGTCACTTCTCGAAAATGGGAAAGTGGAATAACTAACTGGTGGTGGGTGTTGTTCTATAACCTTTAGTATTTTTCTCGTCTATTAAGTAGGGGCATTTTTTTACCCCAGCCGGTGATCGGCTTTTACCACAACCTTCGGCCCAAGCCGGAACCTAATGTTTAGTTAATAAAAAGGTGGGCCCTGTTACAACAATAAAGTAGTTAAATAACAAACATTTGTGCAGTTGGCTCTGTTTCTTATAAGTTGTAATTTCAGTTTTACTGCAATATTGAATCAAATCTGTTAAAATTAGATAACAAGTGATGATGATTCATCCCCAACGAAAGTGATAAAAGATACGAAGTTAGATTGGTATAGTATTTTACATAATCATATACAAGTATATCTTGAAAATATTACATTTCGAAGCATTTCCGGAACTAAACAAAAAATGTCTGAAATAAATACGAAGACAATTTCATTTGGATTAGAAATTCATAAGCAGCTTCACATTAACAGAAAAACTTATGAAACACCTGATTACTTGAAAACTCTTCAAAATGATACATTGCAATGGTAAATTTCCACGATCACTATGAAACGACCTTTTTAACAGGCAAAAAGCAAAAAATGACATCTTAGTAATAATAATAATAGTTGATTTTCTATCTTTGTATGTCTGTCCTGCAGGATTGAACATCTGACAAAATGTTATACTAGACTAACTGGTAGCTAACAGATATTTTAGAGTTTCTATAGGTCTTTTCACAGTTTTTACTACAGAAATTAGTTTCATACACCCATCTTCTTCACACATACATATGCAATAGGCATCTACGCGTTGACGCTTGTTGTGTAAGCTCACACACATATGTACTTTAGCTTCAACTCACTGACTTGACATTTTTCTCGCCAAAGTCTTCCTCATTTATGTTTGTAATTGTCAATATTTGAACTTGCTTGTCATGGGCGTGCAATTTGAGTTTACATGTTGCTCTTCGATATAAAACATAGCAATGCCTGAAGATACAACTACACAATGTCGAAAGACTGTTTCAGTTTATACAAGTGAATGAAAACAACGGTCCTCTAACACCCAATTCATGTATGTGTGCAAGAACGAGTATCGGCTGCGTAGAATCGGCTTACACAATGTGCAATTTCTCTTAAGGGAGGCTCTGCACGGTACAGTTAGTCAATCTATTTATTTATTTCGTATGAAATTGTGACGAAACCGCCAAAAAAACCATGAAAAGAACTATAATAGGGTTTAATAAAGAAAAGCGGACTAGGGGAGCATCATATTCATATGTGGTAACCTTGGGTGCTCACTGAAATTTTTCCCTGGGGGCTAATCGTCGGCAAGAGCTAACTTTTTGAAAACGTGTATGAGCCCCAAAAAAATTTGTAAAGCAGGGAGTAGCCAATTTTCTCAGAGGGAGTTACATCTTAAAAATTCTCAATACTGTACACAAAGAGCCATTTTACACACAAGAGAATGACTCCGAAAATTATGGTCATAATTATGCCGAAAATTTTTGCTGTCGTTATTACAGGTAAAAGAATTCTTGTGAAAATTTTTATGGTAAAAATATAAAACCCGTTCTATAGAATATGGGCGAGAATCGGCGCAGAGGATTATTTCCGTGCATGTCAATATCAAATGTCAACGTCAACAACATAACCTCACTTAACATTTGTGGGTGTGGTCCTGTTCGAGTCGTACAAAGAAGCGTTTATTGTTATTGTTTATTCATAATATCGTAGAGTCGGGAAGAAGTTACACTGTTGTTGGAGGAGTACCAAAAAAGGCAAAACCTGTACAAGGTGAAGTCACCCAATTACAAAAACAGAAATTTGCGGCGTCGGGCGCTGGATGCTATAGTCCAAGCATTGAGAAGTTTGAAACCCAACGTGACAGCACAGGATATACAAGCAATTTCAAAAATAAATTTAAATCAACGACGTCTGTTGTCTTTCCGATTATATTTAACGTCATACCCATTAAGGTTATGTCCATTCAAAATATTCAAAAATATTACTCTAATGCGCAGGCGTATCATATGAATAACTCGGAAATTTTGTTTGCTTGTGTCATACAGATGTAGAGAAAATCTTCAATATTCTTTCCATGCAAATTTTCGGCATAATTATGACCATAATTTTCGGAGTAATTCTCTTGTGTGTAAAACGGCTCAAATACAAAGCTTGGAAACAGTCTATTGTTCTTCTTTTCTCTAAAAACAGTAATCCACAATTATTTATTGATTTACGACCAATCAGCGCAGTACTCGTACTTTCAAAGATTTTAGGAAAGATAATGTATCGAATATTAAACTGAAAACATTTTACCTCGGAAACAATTAGGCTTCATAAGCGGCCACAACACAATAAGAGCGCTAATCGATTTAACGGACAAAATCGTTAAAGCTTGGGACAAGCGTTAGCTACTGCGTTAGTGTAACTAGCCTTTTCTGAAGCTTTTCATACGATAAACCATTCCTTATTATTAGCTACACATAGGTTTTATGGGTTTTGTGAAACTGCATTTAAAATGACGTCCAATTATTTATTAAAACGTACTCAAAAGGTCACTGCTCAATGGTCAATGTCAACAGGTGGACGTTCAGTAATCCGTGAAAGATCTAAAAATTCTGGTGTACCTCCGGGGTGAATACTTGGGCCACTCCTGCTTCTCTTGTACATTTCCGATCTACATGGATCGATGAAGTACAATTTTTTGCTGGTGATACCCAGCTTTACCACCATTTTGATTTCTGTGAAGTTCAATGAATATTTAAAATCCATAAATAGTTATGCTAGACAACATAACTTAGAGCTTAATCATGCTAAATCAATTGTGATGGTTTTTGACCCACAAAAAATGCACCACAAAGACAAGTGAGGAATCAGCAAGAAATTTAGGCGTACTTTTTGATGAGAACCTGAAACTAATTCAGCAGGTAACTAACCGAAGCAAAAGTTGCTATGCAATTCTCAGATTGTTGTATGCTACCTGATTTTGAAGTGAAAAAACTATTGTGCGAGTTTTTGGTGATATCTAAGCTCGCATACTGTCTTTTAGTATATTTTCCTTTCTTGGACTGTGAAAAATCCAAAACATCAACTGTAAGATTGACTCGAAATCTCAGAAAATATGAATATATCAGTTCTGATTTCTCAGAACTAGAATGAGATGAATATGAGAATTATGTTTTCATCATGCTCACATATACTTACAAATTTTTAGGTAGATCGGTGCTCATATTTTTGAGAGAGAAACTGATTTCGCGCAGATATATAAGATATTATAATACCTTAACAATGCCACACCACAGAACTGCTTTCTTTCGGAATAGTTTTACAGACAATCCTGTTAAGTTGTATAACTTCTGCTAGATAGCTATGACATTGTCAGTGGATAAATTTAAACCAGAAGTTAAGATTATTTATGTACTTTTATATCAGCAGTGTCTTTTATTATGAACATTCCTTATTTTATCGTGTGAAAAATAATTACTTGTTTTTTATTAACATAAATTTGACTGTTTTAAAAGATTTAAGTGGAAGAATAGCCTAAAGCTAAACTTCTCCCTAATAAAGACCTATTATTATAGAATACATGCTAAATACGCTATTTTGGAGGGCTGAGC